CCCATTTTTATTCCATATCAGTAAAATACTGATATGAAATGAGATTAATGAAGATAACAACTTGATGGTACAGTTTATGTATATTATTTTATAATCGTGATTACACTATAAGTGCTTTATTGTTTATGACTATATCGTTATTATTTATCTGGCCTTGAAATTTCTTGACCTCATGGACACATTTACTTGTCTTTTTAGGAAGTAAAATAATTGTTTGGTTGCTAAGATTTTGGCACATAATGTACTGATTATCAATAGAATAATTTCTTTGAAAGATCTCCTATCGCTACTGCTCTTAGTTTTTCAAAGAAAATTTATGCTTGAAGGTCTAGATCATAGAATGTATGAGTATACAAGATTAGAAACTCATGGTATATTTATATTTTTATCTTTTACAATTTTCTATTCAAGTCAGAATCACATAGATACACACTCCGATATTTAAGTGTGTGACTGTTTATATCATGTTAATATATAACTATTATATTTTTTTCAAAGAATAACAATCGATTTTTTTGCCCATTCTGCAAGCGAATGAGTAAATAGTAATAATAGATGTACTATGGAGGCATTTATTGATTCCTGGAAGCTAATATTGATAACAACGTAGTTCGTATTAATCTAAGAATAATAATAATAAGCATAGGCATATATATACTACCTGTGCCCGCGGTTTCACCCACATGAAATTTATAGACTATTGTTATTCTGATGAATAAGCTATAGGGAGCGAGGTAAGTTGTAAGAGAGAAGAGTTGTGACAATGACGATTACTGTAAAGTTTTATTAAAATCCGTTCAGTAGTTTTTGCGTAAAAGATTAAAAAACATACATCCATCAATCTATCCATTCATGCTCACAAACTTACGCGTTTGTAATAATCGTCAACATCTGCTTCTTCCTAATCCCATTTATTTGGGGTCGGCCTAATGTTTTTCTCTTCCATTCATCCCTGTTTGCAGTCATCTCGTCATTTACTCCCTTTCTTGCCATATCATAGGAATGTGGGACATTCCATCCATCTCTTTTTCGGCCTTCCTCTGCCCTTATAACCATCAACATTCATATATAACAGCTTCCTTAAAATATTATCTTCATTCATACACTTTACATACTTATACCACAGATAACATAATATTACATACTTATACCATGATAGCCGATTACTTTTCAACCTCTCCGACAACTTGTAATGGTAAAAATTACATATAACCAAGTGGGATGCCATGCATTTTTTTGTTAGACAATCCGTAGGTATCCGGTGACGCCTACGGTAAATATCTATGCATTTATAGGAATCCGGTGAATTTTCGCTACTATATGATAGGTATACTGATAAGTACCTAATTCTTAAGTGTGTATACGTGTTCGTTGATGGGCTATTGTAGTAATTTCCCATGAAGTGAACTATCAACTTATATACACCTCCTATGTTACTACATACTTTTAATCCTAGATATTGTGAGAGCGAACCTAACAATGACTGTGCAATAATTTATGCCTAATTATCCCATTTCCTAATAGAATTTGTCTCAGAAAATATTGCTGACTAATAGTTAGTAAAATATTTCATAAATCAATATTTCTTTTTTTTGCGTGAGAGTAGATCTCTTTTATCATTCCATCCAAGCTACTCGGTATGTTATTCATGTTTATTCAATAAAGTACCAACATTACATCCCTATAATATTAATATATCGAAAGTTATTTTATATCAAATCTCTATGTATGTGTATAACAAATGGAGTGGATTTTTTTAGTGAAATTTGCATCATTCAGAAGGAATATATTTCGAAAGATCCGATTAATTAAATATCCATAAACATCATGAATACAAGTAGGTACATATTTCATTATTCGCGACTTCGTTCACGTGGAATTTGATTTTTTTTATTAAAATACATAGAATTTCTAAAGTAACGGTAATATAAATTTTTAAATTAATGGTCGTCTTAGTTACTCCATATAACATCTGCGAGTGAAAAATCCGCAAGAAGTTTCAGAAATCAGCAAGAATAAACAGACCGTACATAAGGGCAAAAAATATAAAGTTATTTTTTTTGTAGGTACTGTATATATGCATAAGCATTTAGTGAAAAGCTGTTAATTTGAAATTTCTTACACGCACTTCAATTTTATTTATTTGTATAAATATTGCTGGCAGCTTGCCTACCATTCTTTTTATAAACCTTATATTATATATGATACACTTTTTATATATGTCAGTTTTGATTACTATAGTTTTTCGACATGAATGCCCTTTGTGCCACGCCATAATATAAGAAAAACAAAGTAGAAATATAATCTTTATTAAATAATTGCTATGGGATTTCGTTCCATTCACACGTTATTTACATTGTTCAAACCGAGCAGAGTCGTGGCGAGCTATTATAGGTTAACTGGTTTAACAATAAATATTGTATTATTATTAATGTTTATTAGAGAAGATGTAATGCCAGGGTAATTATTTGCTGTTATCAAAAACAGTTTACTTGCAGATTCTCGCTGACAAGCTTACATAATCTTGCGCTGTAGAAAAAGCACTTACTCTTCAATAAGATGATTTTAATAATATAATGATATGTCGCTAATACTATACTCTGACGGGAGACAAGTGGACAGGATGGTAAGTGATCATACGGTTAGAGAGGTAACAGAAGTCATGAACCTATATCATCTATAGGTATCTTCATTATTCATTTGTTCTACTCTTACATCTATTTTACAGAATCCTAATACAAAAGCGGAACATAAATATTATTTTGCTATAATTATTTCACTGTGATTACTTATTATTGTAATCAAAACACATTCATGCAAGCACTAATATTAATATATCGACAGATACAACGATTGATATTAGAAAAAAATACCTAAACAATATAGTGCAATATTCACCAACAAGTAGGTATACGATACATGTAAAGGTCATCTCTTTGTTTCCGTTCTAATCGATATCAACGATTTACTAACTGCTTTCATTAGGTACATCGCCGTACATGGTAGAATTAATTATTAGTGGTAATTTCCTAGGTGAGGACTGGGGATTGTCAGTAATATGTACTTACCCGCCTTGCTTGCACTGTACTATGTCAACCTGTATTCGCCTCCTATGGTAAAAAAACCAACTTCGTTAATTTCTTTTTCATCATTCAAAAGTGCATTGTTAAAGCAAAATGAAATGTTGCAGGGTCAAAAGGTCACGGATACCTTACTACTACCACTACTAATGTAAGAAGACTAATATATTTGGTTGATCATAAAATGATTATTGCTCATCATCAGCGTGTTCAGTGATGTAATTATTCCATCTGAATTACATGGCAAATTCATCCGATGGAATCCTACCGCTATCTAAAAATGGTCCTAGGAATTACAAGATTATTGTAATTCCTTTTAGAATTATATATAATAAATTATAGATCTTCCTGTGCTCACGGTCTCTCGTACTCGGAAACCTCCCGGGCTGTTGCACATCAGTGTACGAATTCTTCCATAAAGCTCATTTGTGTTTTATCCTGTCATCTTTAGGATTCATCTTTACTAATTAAATAGGTATTTGATTCCGCTATGGTATGGCTATCCAAGTATAACAGCTTCTTCCTAAGCTATTAGCAGTATTCATATTGACTCGTAAAATGTATTGCTTTCATTATTGTTCTCCAATCTTTATTTTATTTATTGGTAACATCATGATAATGGGACAAAGACATGCTAAATTTGCGTTGAATAAAAAGAAAAAAAATATTCAACACAAATCTAGCATGTGGTTTAGACACAATTTTATTTTAAAATTAATATGAATATGGTATCTTGTATAATTAGCCCGACCAAGAATTGAATCCAGGTTCTCGTTTACGGAAGCGGATGTTATTTATAGGAAGTCATTTATATAATGATTTGCCAAAAGTTGTGGAAACTTGACTAACAAAGTCAACAAATTAATTTCATTCCAGTAAATAGATATAGAGTACTTCGCTATTAATATTATTATTATGACAAATTCTTTGACTAGCCAATGTAAAATATTTATTCTAGACATATTTAAATGGCAAGGCTAGCCGCGTAACCTGTTCAAAAGAAATAAAAATAAAAACTGCGGATGAAGAAGAGTTTTTATTCAATATAAAAGGTAATATATCATTGCATTAATTTTTTATTCATTATTAACTACACCTATCACCTATAGTTACATATTTGAGTTACTTGTCAAGATAAAAGATTTTGCCGAAGAAGAAAGAGCATTTTGCCAACAAACATTTGTTTTAGTGTGGTGAACGTATTTGATTTCACCATATTTCACAGAATACTGTCAAAGCATAGAATAAGTTTTGCTACGTATACAGTGGTCATGTAGGTACCATTAAAGGACGAAATATTTGATCAAATCACGCATTGTAACGAATTCATTAAAAAATTAATCACGATGGTTTTGTGAGCAATGAAACTGCAACGCATTCCCTACGCATAGTGCTAGATCCAAGTTACTGAACTTGGCTGTACATAAGTATATATATACAATTATACATAGATAGTCAACGTGGTAATAGACGTTTCAACAGTACGTTATGATCTTGAGCGTTCTATCGAAAAATGTGGACAAAGTGATGACCTCAGAGTTTTGATTCAGATTTAGGTAAAATTGTAAAACGATCAACTGTATTGCTCTTTTGTAAACAAGGATTTCCTATGTAGAAATATTGATCCTACTTACCTTCCGTATTATCCCAAATAATTGTCGCTTACAAACAGTATGGGTAATATTGGGTCCCCATGTATCTACATTATATTAGCAGTCTGACCAATAACAAAGAAGGAAACACGAATAGCCCCTATGTCTATATTAGTGAAAGATGTGGTGAAAAGATTCAATAGATACAGCGTCACATCGTTATCACAAGTTCGAGTATTGATATCTGTGTACAATGTTATACAACAGAGTAATATTTCGTCACTTGAGTCACTCTACTCGATGCTCGCTGTAGTAATTCAGGGCCAGTTCACCCAGTTCGCGTGCACTTGTGATCGTGAGCGGTCAGACATCGCTCGTTCTATACATTTACAGCCGCTATTTTCGTACAATACAAACCACTCCAATCGAATGATAAGCCCGGCAATTCGTTGTTGCAATCGGTACAAAACGGACGCAGTCAGTGTACGGTTTACAAAGTATTTATTATATGAATAATTCCCATTCGCGATTCATTGGGTATTTTTGAATTATACTTTTAAATTGAGTGACGAATGAGTGAATTTTCGCTGTCCAAGTTGCTGTGGGTGCGCGATAGTGAAGGCGCCGGCGCGATGGAGAGTTGTTACAAACTGTACACATGGGTCAGCCACACGATCCTGATGCTACTTCTACAGATATTCTGGAAGATGAGCCAGATTTCAGATTACTTTAAGGACAAGTGAGTACCTCTGAAACTCTTTATTATAGGTGCGGTTACGTAGGAATATGTTTTATAAAAAATCTGACTACCTACCTCCTGCTTCCTTTATATCCGGTTTCTTTTTCCGATTGACTATTTACATTTAGTTTCGCTTTATTTATCTATTTATTCAATGACATATGAAGTGACTCAAATAAAGGGAACTCTTCTTCTACCCCGGATCTGTAATTTTTTAAGATAGAATTTTGAGAGTTTAAATGGTATCTATACTATTCCAATTAAAAATTAAATTATAACAAGATAGACTTATTTCTACTTTCATTTCTAAGACATTTCTTTACTCTGGTACATGGGTAGGTCATATAGATAAGAATGCTGTTATCTGATTGATAAAATGTACTATTTCTGTAAACTTTAACAGGTCTGAACATTCTACTTTACATATGACTTACAGAAATAATATAAATAGGTACATAGGTACAAATATAAATAAGCTAATATATTAATTATATAACGATACCTAGGTCACATAATTAATTTACGAGATAAGTATCAAATACATAACATCCAGGTATCTACCTAGAAACCTAAAAATATACCAATGTAATCCTAATCAGGTTATCATTTTTATCATTAGTTGTTTATTATTATCAATAGTGAATACAATGCTATGTTGACACAACATAAAATTTTACATTAACTATTAGAAAGGTTTTAGATGTAAGAGTTCACTAAGAAAGTGGTTTCTAATGAGAGCCACGTGTGTTTTGAGGTCGTAAGGTATCTATCATACATAGCTAGTAATGAAGGGGGTATTAGCAATAATTCTCTTTTCCTGTTGCAATGGTCAAAAGACCCCCTTCGATCTACCCCCTTTCTTCATTCTAATGGGAATCGAACCTAGCGATGCTAGGATAGACTACAGTCGTATCCATTAAGAGAAATATTTGTATGACTTCAGCCTATCTATAAGTCTCTCTCTTGCACTATTCTCCATTTTTGTCCGGTGAAGCTGTAAAAGCTACATGCGATATTAGAATCGTTTGGGAAACAAATGTTAGGGATGTCAACTGTACGAAAATTCTCGTACAAATACGAGTTCTTTGACCTTCAGACAAGTTTTTACGAGATTCTAACCTACGATGTGCAGTTGGAGGGCTATATTGAGCTAATACGAGATTTTATTTCTTTGTACGAGGCTAAAGGTTTTAAGATTGGCAACCCTCGCACCACTTGAGTTGCATGTAACCGTGTTTCCTATTCTAGTCTGCTCATGTGGATGCTTCAAAATCTGACAATATAAAATAATTATGTATTTATATACTTATATATACTGTCTAAAGAGAAACGAATATCAAATAACGAAGCCAATATTATAGGTACAAGATTATTTGAAATGGATACGTAATACCTACACGAAATCCTGTATTCGTAACATTGAAACAACTTTTTCTGAGGAGCATATCGAAACATTATTTTTTTTACAGCAGTTGAAGTTAATAGTTAAATCAGAGCAATTAGATCATCGAGGTAAATACATCAGAAATTATTCATGGTAGTTTTCTAGAGGGGAGTGTTGGAGGTTAAATTAACAGTAAATAAACACTATTAGTGCCTCAATTTGTCGTAGATTACAGTCTCCATTACTATTTCAATAAGTATTAGTCACTCATTAAATTAATCACCGATGTATTGCTGACCAATGATCCCTGCTCATTAGAGTAATAACAGTCATTTTTTTAAGTATTTGGAATGCCAAATAAGCTGACGGTTCATCTGATTTTAATTCTTCAAATCAAATCTTCAATACATGAATAGTACCACGGAAAAAACATTACGATACGTTATTTATTTAGTAATTTAATTCGGATATCCTTCCATATTATGTTAGTAAGCTTTACCACCCATGCGTTGCGATTCCAGAGGACGAAGATTTCATGCCTCTTATCCTGTAATTTCAATCTATCCCGAGAATCGAAGCAAGCTGCTTGGTTTTGGGAGGTGAAATAGATGAGACTGCGGAGACATAGACAACTTTTTATAAAGTTTACCTCGGGGAAACAGTAGGCTGCTATTATCATAGTAATAGTCGTATTGATGACAATCTAGCGACTGGTGAAAAGGTTTCCCCGTAGTCTAAAGGTACGAAAGACTAAAGCTTCAATACAAACGTAATGGTCAAACATTTCCTACAGGATACGTAGACACATCACAGCAAATGCCAGTGATTATCATTGTAGGTCTAACAATTGTGGTGTCATCTAATCCTTTTGCTGTGAGTACTTATTTCAAGTTTTCCTTTTATAGTACCTACGGATGTATTCGAGGTCTCTAATTGTCTTTTGAGCAAAAATATATATTTATCATTTATCGATATTCGTAAATCAATATTTCTACATATCATAGTCAGGTTGTATAGCACACCGCTTTACTTCCGATGGTCACGGGTTCGATTTCTCGCTGGGTGCAATCATTTTTATTTATGAGTATGATTATTTATATTGGTGTAATATTATGTATGTATTTACAAAATAAAATATTTAAATATTTATATTAGTTGTCTAGTACCCATTACACCAGCTCTGCTTAGCTTCCTACTAGATGATGCTGTGTGGATTATCCAGGATGATTATTTTTTTTTAATTATAAAAATTACTTTGAACTTTCATTATTAATATAAGGTTTATGAAAATAGATGTATGTTTGTTACTCTTTCACGAAAACACTACTGGATGGTATACGTATGCATAGGAAACACTGTTCGATCATATTCCAGATTACCACATTGGATCCTCTTTACCAAAATTCACGAGGACCACGCCAGAAAGATACAACTAGTCATACATAATTAAACTTGTAGTCACGTGATCAATTTAGTAATACAGTTAACAATGCAAATAATGTCTGAATCGTCCGCTTACTCACGTTACAATATACGTGAGTAAGAAAAGCGTGATCGAGGAAACCGGTAGGTGATATCTACCACCTGCACACAACTTATGCGATCAACACGTACCTGCTTATTAGTATTCAAACCTACAGTGTAGATCATTATCATAATCAAAAACATCAAGACTGTATTAGACTGCATAATGGATCAAGTTTCAGGTAAATAGCCGACTTGATAGATGTATGAGGTTATTTCTTTGTTCAAAAATAAAAAAAGCGAATCTACTTAGTTGGATACTTAGGTACGTATATTTTTTGGTTTATATATTAATAATCAAGCATGAGATATAGAACTAACTTTGCATAATTGCAAGCAACAAATTAATTCTGAATAAACTTATTTGTAATTGCATATATGCAAAGGATTAGTTCTGAATATTTCATCCTCTTACGCTGGCTCGCGTCATTTCAAACATAATCGTTTATGTTAACTATGCAACCAGTTTAGAATAACAAAACATCACTAAGTGGTTACATAGATTACATAGTGCCAACTCTTAAAATCCGTTATTTGCTCAGTGGTAGGTACATACAACCACAAGGCTCCTTATATATAGAAATATACTTTCCTCTTTCATTCTTATAGTAATATATATTATACAGATATTTAGTCATGCTTATCCTGAGACAAATATGGAGATAGATAACAACTTAGCTATTTAGTGAAATTGTAATTGCCTTCATTATCTGGTCTAATGTTGTCTCTATAAAACAATAAACTTATCATCCCATTACAATTTAAGAGAGCAATGTGAGAATAAGAAAAATAACTTAGTATACATAATTAATAAAATTAATGCAGTTGGTGAATTATTTTGTTGTTTTGAAGGCATTGTACAATGAATAAATAAATACACATAACGCACATATGTAATAATAAATCCACTTGCAATTAATGCAACCGAGTTGAAATGTTTATTTTCGTTAGCGCTGTTTGTAAACAAATTGTTGTTGTTAGGCCTTGCATTGTTGCCAAGTATAAATTTTATTAATACAAAATCTAGCATATAACGATTATACCTAGAGACATTTGTTATCGTATATTATTATGATAACAAAATATTCAACAAGATTTTTATTGTTAAATACATTTACATAAAATACATGAAATGTGACGAGGTTTAAAGGTTTAATTATTGTAACTACTATAATTATCCATTATCAAGAGATTTAAGAAAATATTTTTAATTCCACTGTTATTTTTTGTGCATACATATTTGAAAAATGATTCATTTATGATATCGTATCTTTATCTTTCTATCTTGTTTATCTTATCCTATTCAGCACCGATTTTGATTAGAGTTGATTTTCGATGGTGTCGTGTTTTTATATTAGAGTAGAAAGGTTTTTTGTGACCTGAAACACTTTGAAAATGTGTTACTATATACAAAACTACAATTATTATTATTAAACTAACATAGCGAGATTTTTAGTTAAGTAATAAATAAAGCAACTCTTGTTAAATTGACAAGGCATTTATTTAAATTATTTTAATCTCTAAAAACAGTTTGCGTGGCATAATATAAAAAAATGCATAAAAATAGTAGAAAATGGTTTCATCAACGATTTATTTTTGTAATTAACAATGGTTGAGGTAACAAACGAAGATAAACAGTAGAAATTTATTTCTATTTTAGATTGGAAAAAAAAGTTCCTTATTAATTAGTAAAATAACATATGGATATTTATCATGGTCTTTATCGAAGCAACTAAAGTGTAAATTCAAGGTGTAAAACGAGTAATGGAACACTCACTAAACAAATTGACTGTATCATTAACACTACGTTGCGGTCCATTATTCGATATCAGACGTGGAAAGACGATGACCAAACTGCAGTGGGAGTGGGCCGGGGATGTAGAGTATCTATGGTGCCAACTATACAATATTTTGCCACAATTGTATTTTATTTTTATTATCAAGTTTCATCAAGTTTACGACGTATAAAGTATTTGCTTAAAATTAGTAGGTCGACGTTATGGAATTGCTAGATAGACGTATAGAGGCCTTGGCTAATTGTAGCACACAAATCAGATATAATAAAATAGCTACATAATTTCCAAGGTACACT